GCAGGTTCAACCTCACACACTGTGCAGCCCTCCCCCCTCTGCTCCCCCAACCACAGGCCCGCACACCGACCAGCTCGACTGTGCAGCTCTGTGATTGGCAGAGAGACGGGGGGATGCTTGAGTGACCCACGCAGCACCCTATGCCGGGTCGCTACAGCACATACAGTTCAAACAACCACAGAGCTAATGCAGCGATAGGCAAATGTCAGAGGAAAGAACACTGTGTTTAATCAAGAGAGAAGTCGGTTTAAAATGTTAAGTTAACATTTGCAAAATAAAAACAGGAACATTTACAGCAAGTAATCTGCTCAAAACTCATCCAAATTTCTCCTAAACTTCCTGCAGTTTTGCATTAATTATTTGGGTTATCAAAAGTTGATTATTATGCATTAAATATAATAAGAAGTATCAATAAAATGACACATACTAAATGTTAGACCTGCTTTAACACACATCTTAAAAATGGAAATATCCCGTTTTCTATGTGAACTGCAAATACTTTGACATAGAAACCTGCACTAAATAAAATAAAATAATGTAATTTATTGAAAATAGTAAATAATATCTGCAGAAAATCTGTGAATTTCATCTGAAAACTAAAATGCTTTTTCTTTGTGTGCAGGAATCAATATTTATAATGATCAACCCCCCCTCAATCTTTTAAGCTACAGAAACACTAATCCATGACTGTCTGCTGCTCACTGGGTCATACACACACACACACACACACACACACACACACACACACCTCACACACAAACACACACACACACACACACACACACTCTCTCTCTCTCTCTTTCGTACACACACACACACACACACACACACACACACACACACACACACACACACACACACACACACACACACACACACACACACACACACACACACACACACACACACACACACACACAGCTCTCACTCTCCCCTGCATGCATTCTGTCTGCCCTCTTCCCAGGGCAAGCTTTGTGCTCCAATAATGCACCGGGTTGACTATTCATGCTCATGAAACATTCAGCGTAAGGGATCGTTCACTTATTCACTCGCAGTCAGTCTCCACAACTTCTGCAAATAACACACACACACACACACACACACACACACACACACACACACACACACACACACACACACACACACACACACACACACACACACACACACACACACACACAAACACGCACACCCACACACACACACACACACACACACACACACACACACACACACACACACTGCCCTGGTCTCCAAAGCATCAATAGGCCCAGCTGCACCTCCAACAGGAGCAGCTCCACCGTAACTCCCCCAAAATGACAGGAAGCATCTTTTGTAAATCCCTGCTCATCACTCCAAATAGTGAGGGGTTATATAAGCATGTTCAGTGTTCCTCTCTGATCAGGGAGCCCTCTGCAGCAGGATTAAGCTGCAGGAATATTTGTGGCTCATGCAGAGCGTGTGGTAGATTATGTGCTGCTGTTGTTTTGCAGATTAGTAGCTTAAGATGGCAACCACATGACAAGCAAAGCACTTGTTGAAACAATTTAGGATCCATGTTGGGATGGTGACAGCTCAGAGGGTAAACCTCAGGACTGGATAACTTTCTCTGGCCTTATTGTCCCCTCTTAAACAACCGTGCTGGTGTTTCTTCATGTATAATTCCATTATGACCATTATTAAAATAACAGTCATATCATCCACACCACATTGCTACTGTTTCTTTTTAAAACTGAAATCCTTTTTAATTTCTGCCACTTCTTATTTGATGCAATACAAATAAAAACTACTGCATGTATGTCAAATTAAAATGATACCTTGATCTGGGAGAGCTTTGCTGTGAAACTACTGTAACATGTTAAGGTTTAGTTGTCTTTGTGTGAGAGTTTGGCAGAGTATGTTTTATAACATTTCCCTGCTTAAGTACACTCAACTCCATGAGGTATGGCTGGTTTCCATTGTTCCACCTATGAGATCTGATTTTTCATATAACTGTCCTTTGACTTAAGGAATAAAAGAACTAAGGATAACAATAATAATAAGTCAATCATTCTGATGGGTTTTCATCAGAAATACTGTATTTAAAAACGATTATTCCATAAAGAGGCCATCGGTAGAACAAACTTCAACTCCATGGATCAACAATAATAAGAAATAATGATAATACATGTTATTTATAAAGCACTTTTCCTGGTGCTCAAAGCGCTTAATAACAGTGTTTTAATGCTTACACTTCGATGTGTTGTCCGGCTCAGTTTCTCATGGCGAAGGAACGGGAAGTTCTTCAACATTGGGAAAGATCCCAGGGTGACGATGCGGAAACGCTCGGGGACGCTGGAGATCGGTTTCCGTAGCGGCGGGCGACCGGAGGACTATGAGGGGGAGTACCAGTGTTTCTCCAGCAACGACCTGGGAGTGGCTCTGTCCAACAAGATCCTGCTGCGCGTCTCCAGTGAGAACACAAACACACTTCCTTTGAAAAGACTTGGACATAATGCATACATTAAAAAATTAACAATATCTTTATTTATTTTTCTTTACACATTCAATAATTACATAGCAGTTACATGATAAGTACATAAGCAAAACCAACAAACAAAATACCAAAAAACAGCTTGGTTTTGGACATACATGGTATACAGGTTACAGTGAGGCTGCCAGATTTATAGAACTGGTCAGATTTGGCCTTTTAGTTGTAAGATATTCCAGGAGAACCAACTCAAATATAATTTTGGGCCAGCCTTTGAGAGATGGGACCTCATCTTTAGTCCGTATTATCATCCAAGAAACTTGTTTCAATTTATTCAGTTATAATTTAGATTATAGAGGTTACAATGCAACAACAAGGTTTTATTGAATACTTATGCAAAGTGACAGTGCACGCTGTCAAATATCTGTTGACCACAAATACAACCACCAGTAAAGCCCTCTCTGACCTGTAGTTCTCCTCCCCTTCCCTCCCCTTTCTACTCCCACCTCCACCCGTCCTCCAGAGGCTCCTCTGTGGCCTAAAGAGGTGCTGGAGCCCGTGGTGGTGACTGAAGGCACCCCGCTGGTTCTACCCTGCAACCCCCCACCAGGCCTGCCTCCTCCGTTCACCTTCTGGATGAACAGCGGTGAGCAACGAATACACACAAATACACACACACATGCACTCAGGACATTTGTCTTTCTCTGTGTGTGTGCTGATGATTTTCTTCCCCACTGTATAAGCCTGTCAAAATGACTGTCAACCACTATTGGTGCGGTTGTATCATCATTATGATAGACTGTGTCATTGGAGCAATGTTTGTATGGCGATGAAACAGCAGATGACAGCTGTTTGTTTACTAGTTTTATATAAAGAGGGAAATAGATGCGAGTTATATCCTATCCAGCTTTCATATTACTCAAATATATAACTTCCTTCTAAAATGGAACACAGGGTTGGTTTAGAGGCTGACTGCATCTCTCTCACTGTAGCTGCAAAATCATAAAGAAATAAAACTGAAAATGAACTCAAACCCTAAACTGCCGCTGAGGCACAGGAAGGCACGTCTCAGGCAGGGAATAATTATCTAACGTCCAGCCATGAACAGCATTTTGTTTGTCCAACATGTACGTAATCACCACGTGCCCAACTCACCCAGTGCCCATAACTGCCTTCAAAATGAGAGCATACAGGATTAGTTTTACTAAGAAAGATAATTACAATATATAATGATTAATTTAATAGAAACAACAAACAGCTAGACATATATGTTTGATTACGAAACCACATGAATCAATGTATAGCTCCAACACTCATGTTTGCTGTTCAATCAGCATCCCCAAAGAACAATAATGAAGGTGCTCAGAACATTTTCGTTTTGTCCCTTTAAAATGTGAGGCTGGAGGTCTATCAGGTCATCTAGACTAGAGAGCGGCTTCATTTCACTCTTTTCAAGCCGTTTGTCACTAATGACCTCTAGGCAGAATGCCTTGCTTTAGTCTTTTATCCCTCCTGCTCTCTCAGGTTCTTTCTCTCAGCAGTTAGACAGGGTCTGGCGTCCTGTCCTCACCTCGCCCCTTTACACTGTATTGTCCTGCTCCCAAGTGTGTGTGCGTCTGTGTGTGTGCTTGTAGACCTTGTGTCCAGCCAGAAAGCCACTCTACACCACACAAAGACATGCCCTTTGTAGTTAAAAAGGTAGATAGTGCAGCTATACTAGATGCTCCTTACAATATGTGAACCTAACAGGTGAAAAGACTATATCACACACACACACACACACACACACACACACACACACACACACACACACACACACACACACACACACACACACACACACACACACACACACACACACACACACACACACACACACTTTTCAGCTAGAGACTTCATTCCAACTTTTAAAATGATCACAAGACCTTCGACTATTCAAATCTTATTCAGATTTTTTTATATACTTTAC